ATGTGTTCGCTTAAATGTTAAAATATTTCTGTTCAACATTCATATTTACAGTGGTGTTCAAATCCACTAATACATAAGTTGACATAAAATTGTACTGCAGTATTTTTTGGTCTGACTTTTGACAGCTAAATAAGTCTCATCAAGGGTCATTGACCTGTCAGAAGTTGAAGTAGCCAAAGTTATTTGACTTTGGTGTAGAAGCATCCTAAAAATAGAAGAAAGTAAGGGCTGGATTTTCAAGAACTCGAAGAGTTGTGCCCCTTTGTTTGCTTTCCTATACATCTTATTCTGGCAGTTCATCATTCATATTTTTATTTATCCATTTGTTATGCACTTCATATACATCTGATGAGAATACGAGATATTTAAAAGTGCACAAAATTCTACATAAAGAGTTATGTCCCTTCACTTTCTATTTCAAGATTACATGATTCAAACAATTAATTTTCTACTTGAGTCATCGAATCTGTCAAAATCTGTCAAACCATAATTAACATACAATGTACATGGGGGGTGGGCTAAAATTTGGCCCCCTGAAGAATCAGGGATTTTTCATGTCTTAACTACTTGGGGGACATTGAACAGACCAAAATAGATCTTCTGCCCCCATTGCAACACACTTGGGATCTTAAATCTTTCCTTTCTTTCTTCACTGTTCTGCCTTTCCTTAGTCGTGCCGCCTGAGAAGCATGGCGAACACTTAAGGATCAGTCTGTCCGTCATCACACGTTGTCGTTGGCGGCAACAGTCACATTTAAGTTTTCAAGATTTTTTTTCGCCACCATTTACCATATCAATTTGTAACTTTGTATGTGGCTTAATCATAATAGATTACAGATCAAGTTCGAACCACGTGCCAATATTTTATTTTTTTGCTGGAGTTACATGTATGGCCCTTAGGAAGTTCTCATAATTAACTGTTTGCCATATTTTGTTCATTACCGCTTGCCACTTAGTATGTGGCTTTATCATAATGGATTACAGTTAAAAGTCCAAAGCCCTTTGCACATAGGAAATTCTTATAAGTAACTGTATTTTTTCCCGTCAACACATGCACTTCCTTCAAATTGCAGTTTTCTTCTATAGGTGACACACGTCCTTATATGACCCTGGCTGTTGCGAGGACATAAATCACCTGAAACAGTATATCCTTTGAAGTCCTTCTGTATGGCTTGATGATGTTTTCAAACCAATGGTCTGGAGCATTACTTGGTTAAGAAGACTGAATGCTGTTTAACAGAGGGTCGCTCTCATAATACTCTGGCTCCCTAGTGGGAGGAGTGGGGTCCCAAAGGGGGATTCTCAAATTCAATTACACAATTTGTTGTTAGGATCCCTGCACATCTACCAATGGTCTGGTTTACGTCTGTCTGTCCTTCTATCTGTTTTTAGCTCACCTGCCGAGGCCAAGTGAGCTTTTGCCCTGGTGCGGCGTCCTGGCCTGTCCCGTCGCGTTGCATCCCGATTCAATATAAACAGCAACTTCATTCATTGACAGATTTTGGTCAAACTTTATACAAAGGTCAAGTATGGGTATACTTCGGACATCTTTGTATATCAGGGATCCAAGGTCAAGGTCACATTTGCTATATATAGAAAATCATCCAGTCCCGTCTCGATTCAATGTAAACACTTAGCAACTTCATTCTTTGGTCAAACTTTATGCATAGGTCAAATATGGGTATACCCTTGTGGTTCAGGGTTCCAAGGTCAGGCCAAGGTCACTGTTGCTATATATAGAAAATCAACAACTGATTCAATTTAAACACTTGGCAACTTCATTCGTTCATGGATTTTGGTCAAACTTTATGCAAAGGTCAAGTATGAGTATACTTCGGACATTGTTGTGTTTCAGGGTTCCAAGGTCAAGGTCACTGTTGCTTTATATAGAAAATCATCAACTGATTCAATTTAAACACTTAGCAACTTCATCCAATATGCTATGGAGATGGTAATAACATACAGAAAAAACATGAATATTAAAGCCAACTTATCAACTTTAAGTGTAGAACCTTGTGT